CTATTTGAAACATCTTATTTTGAACTATTTTTTTATGCTACCATTTAGGCAGTTATTTGCAACAAGGAAGCCTCTTCTAAAAGGCTTCTAGAAGAAATAGACCCCAGAATAAAAGGAACTAGTTTAGTATATGAATACACAGAAGCAACATGTGTGTGTTTTTAAGGCTGCAGTGTCTCCAGGATAATAGCAGGAAAATATAATTTTACATCTCCATGCAGAAGCATGCCTAGTTTCACTTTTTGTGCTTTGAACAATATAGAAAAGTTTGGGCTGTTGACTCTTGCTAACTCTTGCTTGCATTACTATAGACAAGAATTAACTACTTACACCCACGGTTTTACAGTTTTGGTCACTTCAATGACATGACTTGCAGCTGGTTGGACACATCTGTTGGATCTTTGACAGATAAGTCTTCTTTAAAGAGACTAAAAAGTTTTTATAGTGCCTTGTGAGCCAGTGCATCACTATTCCTGAAGCTCTTCTGTAGACAGAATTCCCTTTGAAGTCAATGGGAGTTCTCTCTGAATAAGAGCTTTAGGATTTGGGCCTCAGGACATAAATGCTGTGATCAATCTTTTGAGCATAGTGAGTAACATTTTCTTGGCTTTCAGAACTACACTAAGCCAAACAGTAGCCCCAGGGATTCAAAATAGGTTAAATGGGAGAATCTGCTTTGCTTCAACCTACATCTTTCTTTAGCTTTTAAATCAGCATAGTCTCCATGCCTAGTACTGACCTGCCAAAAACACTCTCCAACAATAAGAGCAGATGTTTTAATAGTTAGTTTTATAGTCAAACCTATCATGGCATGAGATACTATGAAATAGAGTTGTGTGCAATGAAAAACAAACATACTTGATGTGAACTGACCTGTTTAGAACTTGAAACCTGAACATACAGTCTGAGACAAAAGACTTGAAGGCTGAGAACTTTATTAATTATGTTACAGGGAGGTCTGTAGGCACTGATTTCAATCAGACCATCATAGTACAAAACACTGTGCAAACATCAGAATTAGTGATACAAAAAGTCAGTAATACAAGTAGGCAATACTACTTGTATTGATACTCCCTGCAAGATACTCCCTGTCTCCTATTCTTTATAATTCCTCTGACTTTATACATGGAAAAGATCAGGTAGCAAAAGACTGTGTGACCTTCCAATACCTCTCACAAAGTTCAAAATGAAACCTGTCTGCCAACCTCCTGTCATTGTCAAGACTACTCTCCCCCTTTTACACAATTATAACAGTGTATTACTGGACCTAAGACATCCTAACTTCCCATGCCCATCTCAGCCTTGGCTGAACTCCAGCATCCCCAGCCACGTTCCCCCATAAAACTGAAGGCCCAGGCTCTTCCTGTTGCCTGTGGTGAAGGCTTTGCCCATGCTGATTTCAGTGGTAACAAGTCTAGAATCAGTGATAAATCCCACCCTGATACAGGCAGCTGTCAGAGAGCTGTCAGGAGTGTGGGGCAGAGCAAAACTCTTCTGCATTTTCAATCCTCATAAGATATCATGCAACTGTATTTAAAAAATGACACATAAGAGAACCAAGAGAAAAGACCAACTGAAACAAGAGAAAAAGGTAGCAAATTCTTATATAAACAGAGCTAAGAGCCTGAACATTTCACAGGCTCTTACCTGTGTGATATCACGGGTGGAGGTGCACAGATGAACAGCTTGGAGTCCCAGCTCTGATTCTGGATTAGCATTTTGGTGGAGGAAGTCCTGCAACTTCTGTTTCTACCCACAGCCAGTGGAGAGTCTCAAACAGCTGCAAATATCACATTGGTATGCACTGCAGTGCAAAAACACTGAAGTCTTCAGGTGTGAATATATATGGGACTATCACTAACAGAGAGAAGGGTGTTTTGGAGAAGCAACTTCAAAGCTGATGAAGGAAACACAAAAAGCAATGTATTACCTGGAATATTAGCAACTGCACTTCCAAACACAAGCTCAGCAGCTAGAAGAATTCCTCCACAGTATCAGTAAGACTGAGATCTCCACTATACACCAGATATGCCCTGGCACAGCTGAACTTACTTAAAATTGTAAACAAGTAAAATCTTGTCCAGCCTACAACTCACAGCAGTGATGTAAACAGCCTGCTGATTCAGTTGTATGTGTAGATGGTTTCCAGTGTGTGCTTCTTTGATTTCTTCTTCTTTTAATTTTGTTTTCTTTTTTTACATCTGGATAATGAGTTTCCTTCCCTCTCCCTCCTTCAATTAGGTCAAAAAACCTTCTGACTTGCCCAGTTTCTTCAATGCCTTGGCTCTGTGTCCCTTTGTGAAATCCAGATGCTACACTGGTTCCTCCCTGGAGATTTGTCCTTTTGTTCCAGTCCATTGCCTTGGTTCCTATCTTGAGAGAAGAGGCAAAAGTGCCAGCAGGGAGAGGCATGTCATAAGAGACAGCTCAACACCACTCAGCAGTTCAATTTGTTCACCTCAAAGAAGAGGACAAAGTAACATATTTTCCCTTCAAATTTAGAAACAAAGAGGGGTTTTATTTTCACCAAAATGGTTCCCTAATTCTCCTCTCCCTTTCCCTAGGGTAGGGGTCCCTGCTCATCCCCAGGGAGCACAGAGAAGCAAGGCACACAGTCCCTCATGCAGCCTGCCACCACCATGGGGAAATGGGTGGCCATGGGCTGCAAATCACGAAAGGCACAGGCAAGGGAACAGCCTTGTGTGGCCACTGCTCAGCCTCCTCTGGGGTGACCCACGGGGCAGCTGCTTCACGAGCCTGTCACATCACTCTATCTCAGCCTAGCTGGCAGAGCGCACTCAGGTTTTAGGATCCTACAGAGCCTGAGATAGGTTCTTGACAGTTCTTTCACCCCCAGTTTGGAAACTCTCTGGGCAATAAAATTTGCTTACTTATGCTCAAAGAGAAGACTGCTTTTGTCTGTCCTGTTTGCACATATCTTTCCTGGGGACAGTTATAAGAAAATGGAACTGGAAGAACTGCCGTACAATAAATTCAGACACAATCACAATCCCACTTTTTAATTGCCAGAATACCCTCTTTCCTTGCACTTGAGGACTGTAAAATAAAAAATTATATATATTATAAAAAATGCATGTTAATCTCCTATCTGCACTATAAATGGCAACAGTGTTGTATGTGGACATCCTGATTTGACACAGCAACAACTGAGGCAGCCTCTGGGGAAACACCACTTGAAACAAATTGTGCCCTCTCTGGAACATTGGGAGCTATGAAATTATATCCTGAAATAATCATCTTCCTGCTGATATCTAAGATGACACTGACAGGAACTCCAAGACTGCATATGAATGAAACTTGTACTCACACCACCTGTGTCAGAAATCCAGTATAACACACTTCCACATCAACGGGAAGAAAGATTCGTCTAGAGAAAATAATTTCAGCTTTGAAAGAGAGATTGAAAAAGACTAATAAAAATGTATTTTCTTAATAGGCTTTTGTTGGTTTTGCTTCAATCTTCAAAAGCTTGTATCTTCCCCCAGTGTAACACTAATGATAGCCTTTGTTTTTCCATCTCATTGGCAATGAAGTTGGAACACACAGTAAATGTGTTAACCGGAGTGCATTGCTGAGTCTTAGGAGCAGTGCAACAATGTTTCCCAGATGCACCTTAGAACTGGGCAAATGTTGTCTACCTGCATTAATTCTTTATTGTCTTGCTGTTTAAGCAAGTATCAGTGAAAGACAGCTTGAGTTCACAATCTCTTCTTTGTGAAGCACAGCAGGTCACTTTTAGCTGTGCAGGAAAACAGTTTGTCTGAGCTTCCAGTGCAAAGGAAACAAATGGGTAGGACAAAAGACCTGTTATGAGGAGGGGTCCTAGGCTCTGTTCTCAGCACTGCCACTAGATAGGCATGACAGGGAGTAAGGCACTCAGTGCCCCTCTGTGTCAGTCTTCCCCACATTTCATCAGCTGATGAAGGCTGTGGATGACACACAGCTGGAATATGCAGATGGAACAAAGGAGGGGTAGAAAATAGTACAGGAGGAAAGCAAACTTGATAAAGAGTAGTAAAACAGAAATGGGGTGGAGTACAAAGTACAAGATGCTACTTTTGAGGAGCAAAACACAGAATCTCCTACAAGCTGAGAACTCATCAGCTGCTGGTCACATGTTAGAAGATTATGTACAGCAAGAACTCAAGGGGAAAGAACTAGAACTCAAATTAAAGAACAGCAGTACAGTAACAGAAAATTATCAATCAGGAAATAAGAAGAGCTGTGAGGTCTGTGGTGGTCTGCTAGCAGGAAAAGCTGAGACATCCATTCTACACTAACACCTTTCCAAAAATGGTGCTTCATCAGTTTATGAAAATCAAATTCTCATCCTGCGATCCTAAATTTTGAAGAGTTTAAATTACTGACTTTCAAGCTGGTTACAAAAGAGGAACTGTTCCTTGCCTATAAGAACCAAAATGTTCTCAAGGATTAGGTTTACAACGGAAATGGTTGGAGTGTTCTCTGCATGTTTAAAATGAAAGTAAAATACCATGTCAGCAGATTAATAATATAAATTGGAACTAGCTAGTCCAGTTCAATTGCCTATGGTAACAAAACACAAATACTTGAAAAACACTAGAAATTATAGAAAGTTTATTTGCTCTATTATATTATTTCAAAAGGTGTAACCTACCTGCTTCCTTATTAGTTAAACATAAAAAAGACTACAGTTAAATATAAAAGATTCATCTTGTTAGTATTAGTCACCTTAAGATACTCACTTACCTGCTTATTATGTGTTTTCATAGGTCTCATTTTCTCAGTTTTTCAAAAACAATCAAAGTTATTTCTTGACTTCATTAACATTATTTTCCTGCTATTTTCCAACAAAATTCCAGTATTTCTTTTCCAGATGTTACACAGTATTTCTGTCAAGATCTCTTTTTCCAGGTGTGAATATATTTTTATATGTGTGTGTGTATATATATATATATATATATATATGCACATACACAGAATCCAAGGAAACATAACTACACAGATTTCATTTTAATTATAAGCACCAAGTCACAAGCTGAGCTTTGTTATACATTAAAATACATATTTCAACTATCTGTCAAGCCACAGTGCTGTTACCAAAAGGCATCTCAGACATTAAAAGGGAAGGTCTTGGTTTCATCTACTACCAGCTTTGTACGGTAATCTCTGTAGTGAAGAGTATCTGTTTCTGGATCTAGAGCAACGGCAAGCATGTCCTCCATCTCCTCCTGAGTAAAGGGCTCACCTGAAAGACAGCACAGAATAACATTTTATCTTGGTAAGTATCCTTTCAAGGACTGACAAATTTTCCCTTGAAAGGATCTCCTTTTGATTCTCACACAGGGGAGAAAGGGAACAAAACTAAGTATCTTATTCCTTCCCTTTTGCCAGTGTAAGTCCTGCACACCAAGTAAGCAAGAAGGAGACAGACGATCTGGACCTATCTGACCTTCTAGTTCACAAACACCAAAACAGCCTGTTCCTCTCTGCCATGGATTTTGAAACAACCATTTTTGTCAATTTTTCTCCTATGTACATTAGAATTATTATCTCTCATTTGGCTATCCTTGCACTTGTATTCACATCATGAAAGACTTCTGGTTTTTCTCTTCAAAGCTGTTGATGGCCTACTTCATCCCTCAGAAAACCAGGTTACCATCTGATGCTAGGTCTTGCACAAAACCTGCACACCCTTTTGAACATGAGGCAGGTGGGCATGAGTCAGCCACACAAGAAAAGCAGGCTCTTCAAGAGATATTGAGGATTACAGAGTGTACAACTTAAATCTCGTCTTTGAATCTCTTTGTTTGCATGCAGCTCTAGAATTAAGATCAAGATAATGAAAGAATGAATGAGCACTGAAACCACTGAAACATCCGGAAATCTAAGCTGCAATTTTACAGGACAGCAAAAGAGTCACATACTTAGTGAGCACAGAGGTGTGCACAGAATCACAAAATATCCAGACATGACTGAATTACAAATAAGGATAAGAATAAAAATCTCTATTCTATAATGTCTGCAAGCAGGCAGATAAATGCTCTTTCCCTGCATCACTGACCAGTGAAATGTCCCAGTCTGCAGCCACTCATCACAGCAACAGCATTGTTTGAAGACAATGAATCTACTTTTGCAGGTTTTGGCCTACAGGGTAAGGACTTCAAGGTGCCATATACATATGCAATGCTTTTTACTTAAATACTGATATTACAAAAGTCATGTTACCTTCTTCAGTCAAATGTTTGACTAGGTCTTCTTTGGTAATATATCCACATTTATTCTTATCCAAAGCCTTTAAAGAAAAAGAATAAATCTTGTGGTTTTAAGCTTATTGTATCAAAAAGCAGCAACTTCTTCCCAGCAATTAGGTACTTGAATATTTTGTTACAGACCTCAAATGCATGTAGAATAACATCTTCTGGAATAGGTCGGAATCTGAAACCATGGAATCAGAAAAGTTAAGTTACTGTTTGCCAGTGTTCTGAAAAAACTAAATATGAGTACTAAGGGAAAGGAAGGCTTATATTCCATGAGAATTTACTAAGTTTTGTCTATCAAACATTTAATTGCAGCCTGACCTTTTGGAACTGTCCATATATTTAACTCTTACATCTTTTGTTGTACAACTGTTTAATTTCCCTTGTGATGAGGAACCAGATGAATGTCTTCTGCATGCCTGAGCTGGCTTGGTGGGTTAGTAGGAATCAGCAACAGATGAATCATTCTACAAAGCCAATGCACTGAACAAAAATGGACAAACCAAGAAAACAAAGTTTTGTCCAGGTAGGCTGGTAGCTAGGCAACAGATCACCTAGTGGGACTTGGGCAGCCTAATGAGCTGATGATGAGCAAAGTAGGCTGGTAGCTATAAAAGGTCTGTCACTAACAATTTCAGAGAGAGGGGAGAACTGGGCACGTTTGTGCATGCATATGCATGCTTGATTTCAGAGCAGGAAAGCAAGCTCAGTGCAGCAATGGAGACTTTCCATATCCCAGCAGGCTCTCACCAAACCCCCAGAATACTAAAGAGAAGGAGCTGAATCCAAGAAGGTTCTAACTGCTTGACTGCTTTGTCTGGACCCGCCTCAGTCTTTTACTATCTAAAAATCAAATGTGCTAAGAAGAAGCCTTGGATTTTATGATCCAAATCTCATGTACCATTGCTTAAGTGAACTATGGACACAGTGCCCCAAAAGATGAAGTGGGTCTTGACAAGCCTGCACTTGCCTGGGGAAAGCGTGCAGGGGGTATTTTTGTGTTTGTGTGTGTTTGAGTTTGCACGAAGGGGGTGTAGAGGAGGAGGAGGAGGAGGAGGAGAGCTCAGAGCAGCAAGGCATCATTTTGTGAAAGGGTGAATACCAGTGCAGAGCCACAGCTACTTCATCTGTAGAACACCCTCCTACCAAAGTCCCTCTGTGTGCAAAATAACTACTCGGGATTGGACAAGACTGAGTTTCTCAAAAGCCTTGATGACCATCTTTAAAATGAAAGATAAACTCCTAGTAAATGATCTCACTTTAGTGCAAAATGTCAAAATAGCACAAGTCCCTGTGTATGTGCAAAGACTTCTGTGCACCTTTGTGACCACTTTTAGATGAGCACTAATTGTATACATTCAGCTGTACCTGGCAGTCATTTTAAGACACGAATATGAAGCTTGTTTACACAACTTATTTAGAATACACTGTAACACTCTGTGCTTCTCAGTAACTGTAACTCATATGTTCCGAGAAAGCAATAGTTATGACATTAATTTGCATACAAAATATTTCAGAGGTACACAAAGCGTGTTGAATAGCAATTCTGATTCCAATTAAAAATACAAAAGCTACATACTATCACAATTATTATTATAAGCTGGTATTATTTATATCACCAATACAACATAATTTAATGTAGATTAACTAATTTTGAAACAAAATCTATATAGCTAATGTAAAATGAGTATAATGGACAAAGAAGATCTATACTCCTTCCAGTTACATAAAATTTCTGTAGATATGTTTTTCAGAATCAACCCTATCAATCTGGAATAATCTACAGACACATAAAATTCACTTTCCATTACCTTCTGTCAAGTAGAACTTTTGTCATCACTGGAAGAAATTTTTCCAGATGAACGAATCCACCCGGTTCTTCTACTTCTATCTAAAAATAAAACTTAAGTGTGGCAAGGTATATGACTCATTAGCAAACTAACCCAAAAACCAGAAAATTGGGGTGGTCCCTGCATTAAAATTACAACATTAGACTTTGAATATTTATATCAGATCTTTAATATCACATGGCACCGTAACATCTGAGTGAAAGACTTGTGATCAAATAGTAAGAGATTCAAGGAACAGCTACTATTCCAGGGAAATACAGGTCTGCTATTAGACACTTGCAGCAACTCAATATTGCCCTCTTGTGCTTCAAAACCATTCATGCAAAGGAACCAGACACTGAGGAACTGATCTTATCTGCCACAATAACTCAGCAGAGGTTTAAACATTCAGGCTCAAGCCATGCTAGTAAAGTCTATCAGGATCTGGAACTTTCCCAAGCAGTATAATGTGAACACTCATTACAGTAAACCATGAACACGTTCCCTTGGCATGATTTTGAACTGTGCCACCCAACATTTCCCCCAGCAGATCCTGGCTTGGACCTTAAGGACTTCTCCCCAGCAGCATGCTTGGTGCAGCCACTCTGCATAAAGCATTTACCAGGGTGGGCATGAGCTGCTCTGTGCCTGCTGGCTTCAACACCCAAGGATATTTCTGGGCATATTTAATGGCTAGTTTGGATATAGCTCCAGTCAAGTGCACCTTAATGATGGAATTTGTTGCTTTCTTGTTTCATGAAAGAAAGTTAAAGAGAGTTGTCAGGGGAAGGACCAGAGAGGCAGGCAGACTGAGTCAGGACCAAAACAGCCATAAGGCAGCCTATAAAATGCTACCCAAAAAAAGCAAACAAATTAGTCCCAAAACACTGGGGACGTCTAGCAGCATTCTCACTGCCTTCCTATACTTCCATGGGAGATAAGCAATATGGTAAAAACCACTCTCTGTCATTGGGGTGCATCCCTTCCCTGCAAATTTTAAGTTTTGATCCCAAAAGGAACCCTGTTAATTGAGCTTGCCTGTTGCTGTCTGTGTTGAAACTGGATGCATGCCTTGAGGTCTCACATGGCAGCAGCAACACCTTGCTAGGCCCCCTGAGACACAGCTGAGATTGAAAGAAAACTCAAACAGGCACTGATTTGAAATCTTCTAACTGAGCCAGGAAAAACTTAGTAAGGAATCTTCCTCCTGGGAGCTGGGTCAGAGCTGGGGCAGTTCCTGATACATCCAGTTGCCTAAATGGAAAGCTGCAACTGCTGCAGCATGCTCTTTTCCAGTGTTCTGGAAGGGGGCTGGGTGCTAAGAGAAGACAGCCATCAGTCTTGCTGCTTTAGAGTGGAAACTGGCTTGAAAAAACACATTTTCCCTTCTATTTGGTGAGCCTAGCAGAAAGGATTTTCAGCAAGGAAATGAAGATGTTGCCTACTTCATTCTAAACCAAATGGAACCTTTTACCATTACAGAATCACTTGTTTTGCTGCTTGCTTGATTGAAAAGATGTAACAAAATACCTGGCAAAACCTTGTCCTGGGAGGTGATCAGCAACCTCTGCTTCCTCTGATGTGAAACAAACAGTTTCCATTTCAGAGTCTCTATAGATCCAGCAGCATCCTGAGCAGTTAAAATTAATCCTATTTCTAACACTTCTTACTCTTCTTCATGCTCACTCCTGTTCTACACCTTGTTTCTCATTGATGTTTTTATTTTTCTGTATTTCCTCCTCTTTTCACAGTAACAGTATTTGCTTGTTCAGACTCTGTGAGTTTCACTCAGTTTCTTATCTTTGGGCACATCCACAGCTCCCATAACAACTGTATTGTAGCACCTATTATGTTTTGTATTTCTGTTCTCCCAGCCATAACATTGGGGTACTTGAAACACAAAGAAACAAAAACATCTTCCAGAATTACCAGGCGAAGACTGCACCGAACTCCAGGCATTGTAGTAACCCTTAGGTAAGTTTCCACCATCTCTACATTTAGCATTTAATCTTATCTTTGTAAGTAGGCCTAGAGATATGATATTAAGTACAGAATTGAGTATAAGGCAATATAAGAAACATGATATGATAATTTATAGAGATAACATAATTATATTAATGCCGATTTTGCAGATACTAATAACGTGATGGGTGCATGTGCTAGTTTAGCAATAAGGCTGATAGGAAGATGAGATGACAGAGACACAAGAAGTGCGAAACAGAAATGAATCACAGCTCACAATGGGCAACAATACTGGGGAAATAGCTTGGTTAAAAACTGACTAACAGACACAATTTTTACTTTATCTAAATTAAAATTAAATTATATTACCACAGCAAATTATAATTGCATCTTACATAAATTAAGATACGTTTATGATTATCATAATATATGAAGGGGTTCCACAAGAAGACAGTGGATTCAATTATATTACCACAGCAAATTATAATTGGATCTTATATAAATTATGTTTGTGATTATCATAATATATGAAGGGGTTCCACAAGAAGACAGTGTTCTTCTGGTACTAAACCTATGCCACAGCTTCATTTACAGGCACTATGAAACATTAGTTGCTATTTATTTTCCAGTGCAGTGTTCTTTAAGGTTAACCATCACTCTGAATGTATTCTTTCTTCTTGCAGTATTTGTGCTTTAATATTCTTACAATCAGCATTTTCTTACATGTTACACGGTTGTATCTCAAGAATCTTATATTGCACTATGCTTCTTATGTATTACTTATCTCACATTTTTTGAGTAATATTGAAAATTGGGAGGGGGGAAAAGTAAATTGAATCTCTTCCAGAGGATGAGGCAGGCCTTAAATTCTCCTGGTTCCCCTGGACTTGAACAGGGTTGTCAAAGCATCCCAGTTTCTCCAATCCATATCTTCATGGAGGAGTTGCACTGTTCATTTGCTGTAAAGAAGAGTCACTGTGGGACACTAAAAATATCATCTATATTAAGCACCATAATTTCTCTTTCCATTTTGTCTTGTTTGTCAGTGGGAGCTGGGACAGTCTGGTTCTGAGAGTACAGAACCAGAGCAGACAGATTGCAGAATCATGTGAAAAGAGCTTTCTCCTCTAGTGGTTCTTTGCACTTCCTCATGTGAAGCATCTGCATCATTTTCACAAGACTTAGTGCAAGACTTCTCACACTAAATTCAGATCTACAAGAGGCCAGACAAGCCTAGTGAGGAGAGACTATTACTGCAACTATCCAAATTATTGTTGGAGCAGGAAGAAAACAGTATGAGACATCAGTTCACAGTATCCTGACCTACACAAGAATAGGAGAAAAATCCTTTCCCCACCTCTCAGCTCCAGCACTGTTCACTCCTTAAAGCATCATGCCCATTTGCAAAAAGAATGTGAAGTCTTTTTCCCACTTCTTTATCCCATTTATTAATCACACTGTGCCAAGGCACCAGCACACCACTTTTCTATTACAAGCATGATGTAAGGAGGAAAAGAGTGTGGAGAAATGTGATTAATTTCCTTACCTCACAACTACCTACCACTGGGAGAATGAGAGCACCACTAGGTCGTGTGATATTTTATGTCCTGAAGCCTGATTTACAAGCTTAAGCAATCAAGTAAGAAAAGATTCTCACCTATAACTCAGAGATCTTAAGACTGAGAAAGACCTCATGAAGGACAGAATGTTGAAAGGTCTGGCTGTAAGATAGCAATAACAGGACCTAGTTCAAAAAATGGCAGGCTTTCCCTCTGAGTATTTTTGGAATGTGATGTACAACACCTGCTCAAGAACTAATTTTTTCTGCCTAACCCCGAAATGTGTTTCCATGGCATGTCCAGAAGAATGAGATGGTTAGAGTTTGGATATCTGACTGAGGTTTAGGACATTCTTTTTCATCAGTCAGTTTTTCCTCCATTTTCTATAAATGTCCCTCCATCTTGGCAGAGTATCACAGTCCCCCTTTGGGTAAAAGAGAGTCCAAGACTCCTCATTTTAACCCATCAACATTGTTACCTCATCAGTCTAAAGATTTGCTTCAGGGCAACCTCCAAGACTGTCTGTCTGCTGGAAACACTTCCATTACACTTCCAACATCTTGGAAAAGAATTTAGGTTTCCCATTCAGCAAGACAGAAGGGCCAAACTTGTTCAAGTTGAAGACTGAAGAAAATACAACAGATCCAAACATTTACCTTTGCAAGCAGTTCCTGTACTTCTGCCTCATTTGGGAAGCAACCTAGTGATCTGATAATGCAACCAATCTCCCTGAAAGAGAAGAAAAGAAGGAAGGAAGGAAGGAAGGAAGGAAGGAAGGAAGGAAGGAAGGAAGGAAGACAACTGTATTGTAGCACCTATTATGTTTTGTATTTCTGTTCTCCCAGCCATAACATTGGGGTACTTGAAACACAAAGAAACAAAAACATCTTCCAGAGTTACCAGGCAAAGCACTGTACCGAACTCCAGGCATTGTAGTAACCCTTAGGTAAGTTTCCACCATCTCTACATTTAGCATTTAATCTTCTTTGTTAGTAGGCCTAGAGATATGATATTAAGTACAGAATTGAGTATAAGGCAATATAAGAAACATGATATGATAATTTATAGAGATAACATAATTATATTAATGCTGATTTTGCAGATATTAATAACGTGATGGGAGCATGTGCTAGTTTAGCAATAAGGCTGATAGGAAGATGAGATGACAGAGACACAAGAAGTGCGAAACAGAAATGAATCACAGCTCACAATAGGCAACAATACTGGGGAAATAGCTTGGTTAAAAACTGACTAACAGACACAATTTTTACTTTATCTAAATTAAGATTCAATTATATTACCACAGCAAATTATAATTGGATCTTATATAAATTATGTTTGTGATTATCATAATATATGAAGGGGTTCCACAAGAAGACAGTGTTCTTCTGGTACTAAACCTATGCCAAAGCTTCATTTACAGGCACCATGAAACATTAGTTGCTATTTATTTTCCAGTGCAGTGTTCTTTAAGGTTAACCATCACTCTGAATATATTCTTTCTTCTTGCAGTATTTGTGCTTTAATATTCTTACAATCAGCATTTTCATACCTGTCGTATCTCAAGAATCTTCTACCCTGTGATTATATTGCACTGTACTTCTCATATATTACTTATCTCACATTTTTTGAGTAACATTGAAAATTGGGGGGGGGGAAAGTAAGTTGAATCTCTTCCAGAGGATGAGGCAGGCCTTAAATTCTCCTGGTTCCCCTGGACTTGAACAGGGTTGTCAAAGCATCCCAGTTTCTCCAATCCATATCTTCATGGAGGAGTTGCACTGTTCATTTGCTGTAAAGAGTCACTGTGGGACACTAAAAATATCATCTATATTAAGCACCATAATTTCTCTTTCCATTTTGTCTTGTTTGTCAGTGGGAGCTGGGACAGTCTGGTTCTGAGAGTACAGAACCAGAGCAGACAGATTGCAGAATCATGTGAAAAGAGCTTTCTCCTCTAGTGGTTCTTTGCACTTCCTCATGTGAAGCATCTGCATCATTTTCACAAGACTTAGTGCAAGACTTCTCACACTAAATTCAGATCTACAAGAGGCCAGACAAGCCTAGTGAGGAGAGACTATTACTGCAACTATCCAAATTATTGTTGGAGCAGGAAGAAAACAGTATGAGACATCAGTTCACAGTATCCTGACCTACACAAGAATAGGAGAAAAATCCTTTCCCCACCTCTCAGCTCCAGCACTGTTCACTCCTTAAAGCATCATGCCCATTTGCAAAAAGAATGTGAAGTCTCTTTCCCACTTCTTTATCCCATTTATTAATCACACTGTGCCAAGGCACCAGCACACCACTTTTCTATTACAAGCATGATGTAAGGAGGAAAAGAGTGTGGAGAAATGTGATTAATTTCCTTACCTCACAACTACCTACCACTGGGAGAATGAGAGCACCACTAGGTCGTGTGATATTTTATGTCCTGAAGCCTGATTTACAAGCTTAAGCAATCAAGTAAGAAAAGATTCTCACCTATAACTCAGAGATCTTAAGACTGAGAAAGACCTCATGAAGGACAGAATGTTGAAAGGTCTGGCTGTAAGATAGCAATAACAGGACCTAGTTCAAAAAATGGCAGGCTTTCCCTCTGAGTATTTTTGGTATTTTTGGAATAACACCTGCTCAAGAACTAATTTTTACTGCCTAACCATGCAATGTGTTTCCATGGCATGTCCAGAAGAATGAGATGGTTAGAGTTTGGATATCTGACTGAGGTTTAGGACATTCTTTTTCATCAGTCAGTTTTTCCTCCATTTTCTATAAATGTCCCTCCATCTTGGCAGAGTATCACAGTCCCCCTTTGGGTAAAAAAGAGTCCAAGACTCCTCATTTTAACCCATCAACATTGTTACCTCATCAGTCTAAAGATTTGCTTCAGGGCAACCTCCAAGACTGTCTGTCTGCTGGAAACACTTCCATTACACTTCCAACATCTTGGAAAAGAATTTAGGTTTCCCATTCAGCAAGACAGAAGGGCCAAACTTGTTCAAGTTGAAGACTGAAGAAAATACAACAGATCCAAACATTTACCTTTGCAAGCAGTTCCTGTACTTCTGCCTCATTTGGGAAGCAACCTAATGATCTGATAATGCAACCAATCTCCCTGAAAGAGAAGAAAAGAAGGAAGGAAGGAAGGAAGGAAGGAAGGAAGGAAGGAAGGAAGGAAGGAAGGAAGAAAGAAAGAAAGAAAGAAAGAAAGAAAGAAAGAAAGAAAGAAAGAAAGAAAAAGAAAGAAAGAAAGAAAGAAAACATCTTTATTAATAAAGTCTGCAGAACAAGACTATAGAGAATACAGATACCAATTCAGAGCTTGAACACAGGAGTGTGAACATAAAAGCACAAAAAAATCTATGTGGAATTTTAAGATGATGTCTCAGTAAGCAATGTCTACTTTTTCAGACATCAAATATTCTGAAGCTCCTTGAAATTGTTCTTACCATTTCCAAAAAAATTTCTTTACTATTGTGTTGCACTGTACTGTGTGCAAGTTACTTTTACATTGCTGTTCTCTAATTGCAATGCTTATTTTCAGTAAAGTATATATATATATATATATGTAGTTAACAAATCACTTGGAAATCTACTGAGATGCAAAGTAACAAATAAAATGCATACTTCTATTAAATGCTATAAATATACAAATTCTAACTGCATTAAAGAACAATTACAAAAGGTGAGGAAGAAGGCAGCCCTGCTATGTCCATGCTGTGCTCTCAGAGTCAAACAGAGCAACAAAGTGGCTTATCACCACTCTGTTTATGCCGTAAATATATTCATAGCTTGCATTTACTGCTGAACCTGGTGCAGCTGTTCTGAGGCTCTAAATAAAATTCTGACTAAACTGGCAATGCCTCAAAGTAGTCCAAGATGAACAACGTCACAGACTAGAAACAAAATTATTGTAAGGCTGTAATAAAGCTTTACTGAGCCTTACTGTATGATTAAAAACAAAATAACAGAAGCATTAATATAGTTTGTGACTTACAATTTAATTCAACAACACAGAATTTAGGCACATTTGAATATGTATCCACAGTGCTGGTGGTTCCCATGATCCAAACCTCTGTGGTTCCTTCATCTTGACCAGTGGTAAATTTTTCCTTTTTGTGCAAAAATCAGATTGCCCAAAAAAAATGGTAGATACAAGGAGGAATGATCTTTGTAAAATCCTCTTACAATAGTAAGGCCCTGAATGCAGCACACCAAGCATATGCAAAATTATATGTATAAATCTATGACCTTCTCAGACTGGTCCCAAGGAGTTCCCATCCTGACTGAAAACATGTGAGAAGCACTACAATAGACAAAAGAGAGAAAAAGGCTGGCTGCACAAAACTAGTTACAGAGCACAACCCAATCTCACACATCCATGTGTTCTGAAATGAAACCATCTATTCAAATGACCCTGCCCCTGTGGGTGTGAATGGCCAATGGCCTCAGGAAGGTCACTCATTTAGACATAATCCTTGTCCATGCATCCTACTTCTAGTTTGTATAATATTGCATTTGTTGTTTTCACTCCTGTACGCCCTCATATTTTCCAGCTACTTGTAACTATTCCCTGCCTCCACCAAAGCAAATCCTGCCTCCTTGTTGTCCCACACTATTTCTGCTCTCACAGACTGCCAGGGATGGGAATGCTGCCATCACCCTCCTGCCTCACTTCACTCACACCCAGCAGAACTGTGATGTGACTGAGGTAAGTCAGACCCTGGAAGAGTCTGCAAAATCTGGCACTGCTGGATGCTCTATCTGGCAGTCTGCCTGCATGCCAGCACGAGGATGTTGCTTGAAGTGCTTGTGGTAAAAAAAGTCAGGACCCATTTGGTAATAACATGGAGTTTAAAGGACCTGGAAGGAAATAGGAAACTATTTTGCTCCCAGCCCCTTCCTCTCACTTAGTTCAGCAGCTGCAGTTTCTGCTGTGTAGGTACTAGAATACAAAAATGATAGTTAAAATCAAGGTTACAAGTTTTGTAACACAGATGCAATGAAAATTTTGGGTCATGGTTTTCACCTTGCATATAACACTTTCAATGACAAGATTTGCAATATCACAAGAGTCCTTGACTGAGGGACATGAAATATGCATGAAAAAATACCATCTTCCTCATGCTTAATTTCTTACTAATTTGAACTAGGAGTCATGGAATACCAATGCTGGCCTGTCAAACCAGTATTATTTTTCATTCTTCACGGATATGTGATATTTCAGGCATTAATACAAATACAGCTACAATTGTGGTTAAGAATTGTGCTGTGCTGCCACCTTCTGATACAAGATAATCAGCCATTAATAACCTGATTTGTGATACAGCCCTGCAATATGAACCTAGGAATAATTAGAAAATAAGTTTTTGTTAATTGTCTGTATCTGTACTACAAAAAAATTAATGTGAAATTGAGTATTTACTACATTAAATAGACTTTTGGATGTTCCCTGTCTGAATGAATACATTTTTTAAAGTCTACTTGTATCATTTCATTGTTGTAACATGCTCCCAAGCTGTATATCCATATATAATGGAGTGAGAAGTGCAGAAGGTTCTACAGCTGTTTAGCCAAGACTGCAGATGTAAATGACAAACAAACAAGCAGTGAGTATGCCATGACACAGTGAGGGCTGGGGGTGGTACAGGGCCAGGGCAGCCAGGGCCCATCCTACTGCCCAGCCAGGAGCAGGGCACCAGGGGGCACCGGGACAGTCCCAGCCCCCGGCATCAGGCTCCTCCCTGGGCACGGACCAAGAGATTTAAGAGATCACTCTCCCCTACAGAGCCCCACGGGCAAGGGAACAGCAACTATACAGAGTATGGAGATATATCCTGATATTCTCCCCACTGGGTATAGCTGAAAAACCATTACTTCTATGAAATACCTGCAATTTCTAAAATTTAGGGGGATTAGTAAGCATGCATTGTTACAACCATCACATAAATATTTTGCACCTCCCTTTCCTCTCTGTAATATAGAAAAGCTGTTAGAAATGTTTAAATATATTTTTCAAGTCTTCATGCAGAATGTCTAATGACAACAATTTCACCAGTTCTCACACTCCATTGTAGTGTTTCTACTCAATAACTGATTTATAATTAAAAGTATATTCTTTTGAAAATAGTAATTGTAAATACGAAAAACTACTCCAGTAAACTTTCATGACAACAGCTTATAACTTCAGAACCTGTTCCCTGAGACATAAACATGTGGTTTATGCATATTATAACATAAGTTATACAGGTATGAATGTTTTTCTTAAAATTAAGTTCAAGTAGCGCTGTCAAATATTCAAACTTTAAAAATATCAGAATAAAAGCATACAGGAATTTTTAGGCATCCATCCAAGGTCAAGCCACTATGAACATACTCCAAACAGGGCCAAAAGAACTGCTTCTATTACATTTTCTGGTGAAGCAGATGCCAGTTTAGGGAGCTGTTTATCTCTTTTGAAATTCTGTAATATATTTGTGAATGTATTTACAAACCTGGCATCCACTGTTTTATTGGATTCACGGTCAAACACCTCAAAAGCTTCTGTAATCTTTTTCTCAATTTCAGCTACTAGGCCATCTGCAAAAAGAAACATAAGAAAAAGAATGATTCACTGAGCTGTTACAAATAATATATTTAAAATTTGAGACTTATGACAGCAGAAACACCAAAACTGATAAAGAGCAGACAGGAGAGTTACTTTGCAGAAGTATGAAAAACCTCCACTCTAAATGCAGGATCTGTGATTTATATTAGTAATATTGCCTTGCTATGGCTCTGCAGCTACACCAAGTCTGCTGGCAATGGTATGCCTCAGCTGTATGAACACACAGCTGCCCAGGTGTGGACCCTGCCCAGAGTGTGCCACAGCTCACTCTGGACCACAGGCCTGAGCCCTTCCTGGATGTCACTGTGCCAGTGGAAGGAGCAAAGCAAACATTGGCCCACGCTTGCCCTGAGATGGGGCTCAGTCACTTCATCCAGGTTCCTGCATCCAGGAAAGCAAGTGCTCTCGTGTCCACTCAGTTAGTCATAATGTATGAAAAGCTGAGAACCAGGGATAAAGAGATAAGATGTATAAGATCTGTGCACAGTGAATGTGGTTCATGGTAAATAATTCATAGTAAGAGTTTGAAAAAGAAGGACAATCTCAGCAAAGGAGAAGGAGTAATTTGCTACATTTGCTTTCTATATCTCAGTCTCAAAGAATGGGGAAAGAAGAACCACACGTTATCACAGATATATCTCACATAAGCCAGAAATTGCATTCTTGGGGCACACTAAGAACCAGGAAATAAATTGTGAAGATAAAAATATAAGGAGAGGAATGGGTCTATCTCAAAAGCAAATCTCCCTGGAAAGAAAGCCAGAGTAAAAAAAATAGTGAACTGGTAGCCCATTTATTAGTTTGACTCCAAATGACAGAATATAGGAAGCAAAGTGACATGAAGTTGACTTCTTGGTCCCTGTGGCTAACTACAACCCCAAACTCTGTTTTGCAAACCAGCTCCCAGGAGGCAGCATTTCTTAAGTTAGCCCCCAAGCCTCCACAGAGGTTCCAGAGGGAAAATCTGAATGACAGCCAAATTGAGATTGGTATGAGGGACACTTGTTTTCTCATTTTCAGACTTGTCTTCTGTATTTTAAATATAATAAGTAAAACAAAGCTCTCCTCTAGAAGACAATACATTTCCTTCTTTAGCTAATGCGGTGTTAAGTGATGTTGAGCAGCTCAGGCCAACATTAAGCCACCAGATCTGTTTTCTACAGGCATAACAAATTCATACCTAGTTTTCCACAGTCCCAATAGTTTGGGAACCCCTGGGGCTGTAGTGTGCAATCATTTTTTTCATTTGCTTTCTTGCCCTCATGACAGAAATGTCATTTTGCTGACAAAGGGTATCAGAACTGAACATAGCTGAATGATGAGATCACATTGGCTTTCTGATCTCCCTTTCTTTATCTTGACCCATGAGCTTTTTTATTGTGGTTTTTCCTCCTGTGCAGTAGAGGAGGGCAGAGAGAGGCTGCAGAGGGTGCCTGGCAGCTGGCCAAGGCCAGCCCATCACAGGCTACAAGCACTTCAACACAGCAGTGGATTGACCCAGATATAAGGAACCTCTTCTGCAAGTAGAAGAGAGGTGCATCCCCCCATAAAGCTACAGCTGCCTGCTGCTTTCCATCTGCATTTGGTACTGAAGTCCCCAGAGGATACACAAAGAGAAGATAAGCAGGAACATATCCTGTATTTCTCTCCCTGACTTTATGCCCCTGATGGAAGCATGGGCAGATATGTGTGCAATGGATGCTCACTGAGGATGAGGAGTCCTGTGCAATCCCCAGGCACAGGACAAACTGTATTCTTTCCACAGGCTGACAATAATGCCTACCTTTTATCTGCCTATGCACCAGTAAAATCCACATTTAATTATTTTTTAAAAACCAAGCCCATAGTTAAATCTAAGTGGACCTGATTCCTTGTGGAAAAGTCCCTAAAGACTCTTAAAGTGCTAAATTTGATGGGGTTTTGCTTACTGCTTATTTCAAAGAGTCTTCCATCACATCTCCCATGTAGACTCAGAGTTTAGTTCTTGACATCAGGCACTTCAATTGTACACTGCAACTTGAAATAGAGAAACATTGAAGGAATATTTATAGCTGTATATTCTTGGCATGATGTATGAGACTTCCATAGAAATAAAAATTAGCCAAGAGAAGGCAGGGAGAGATTTTAAGTGCTGGTACTCTGTAGGCATCCAACCTTTCCAAGCTCTCTTCCATGAAGACAGTATACTTTAATCTTACCTTCTGAAGAGACCTGATAAAGAAAAGTCCTGAAATGAGGTGAACTTGATTTAACCTAAGTACAAGATAATCTATCATCTCTTCCAAGAACTGAGAGGAAGTTGTGACTAAGAGCAATATCCCTGGAAGAAAACCTAATATACTGTTGTCCTCTCAAAGACTCTCTATGAGATGAGTAAACATGTAATAAGCTACTAGCTAAATTTGTTGACTTCCCTCCAGGAATTAAAGCCAAAGATGTTCAACATAGTTCAGGTTGGCAAAGCTGTTTATCTGGAAAATTCTACAATTCACTCTAAACCACTCTTTGTGGGGGAAAAGTACATGCATTCCAACTCTAGGATAAGAAATGGGTAAAGTTTTAAAATTATCTATTCAAGAGGGGCATCAAGAGATCAGACACACAGTTAACTCAGTGGATGTGGTGCTTTAATATACTGAGATAGTTCTGTACAAGGAGACTCTCCACCACAGGTAGATCAATGAAAGTTTCATGTTGCCCTGTGGACCATGTTCTAGCAGTTTTTCAGGACAGAAATACCCACGCTCTGACAGAAAAAGATCCCACTCACTTATTCTACTACCTAGAAAAACAATATACAGTGTCAAGGATGGAATTGCTCCCATATGCATGTGGATATCTTATTATTTATTAATTACTGCATCCTCTTGCCATAGTACTAGGCTGTGGCTACGGGCAGGTGTGAGGAAACCCCTGAGGTCTCTGCCGACAGGAGCCCTTTCTCATGTGGGGCTGCCTTGTGGAACCTGTCAGTCTGAAGGGACAAGGGACCCAACCAGGCGACCCCAACTCAGTTTGACAGTTTGAGAGTCATTTACATGTTGCTATTCCAGTGTTATTTAAAGTGCTGTTATCAACAGCTCTTTTGTAGATTTCCCCATCCAGTAACTAGGGCTTACCAGCTGGAAGTACAAAATCTTATCAGTGACTTTATACTCCAGCACCATTCCTTCTCTTTTCCACTAGCCATTATTTCAACCAAAAAAGTAGGCAGCAACCTTGGTCCTGTCAGCTGAACTGGGAATAAGATACGAAGACTGCCATGAAGAAAAAGGAACATTTTTAAGAAGGTAATGGAGAGGATGTGACTGTGCAGGCATCCACATGAAAAAATATGCATCTTTAAATCCACTGCAATCTGCACTCAACTTCTGTCAGCATTCTATTTCTGCTCACAGATGCAATTTATTGTTTTTAACCACTCTCTCCACTCTACTCCAACACTTCCATAAGGCTCCTATGACCACTCTTGGCATGCTTTTAGGATGAAAGAGACAAATTAAAAACTAAAATAGATTTGCCTTTAATGTTTGCAGACGTTGTTTCACATGACCTCTCCCAGAATCCTTCCCAAAACTACAAATGGAAACAGGGGCATAAGAATTTGGGCGGTGGGGGGGGAGTAACAGAAACAACAAACAAACAAACACTTCCAAATCTGACAGTAGTTCTAATGAGAAGAAAGGTACAGTGTATATTTGCTCAAATATAAAGAATAAAAACAGTAAGAGATTTCACAATGCAAACTCTGGGGAGGTTATCAGTGAGCTCTTATGAGATCTAATCAGGCTTTTAACCAAGTTGTCATTGAACCATCACCTAGGTCAAGATATTCAAAAGCTGTCACAATACTCAAAATCACCTGTAGAGGTAAATTCTCAAACATTCTCAAATAAGCTCATCAGTTTTATCAAGGCATTGTGTCTCCAGAATAAAAAGGGAAAGCCAGCGTGGTCTCATAACATGAACTCTTGTTGATGATATCACCTTGCTGCCATAAACATTTGGGTTGAATTCATATGAAGTGTGGGGACCTTGGCTGACACAAAAATAACTCCGGAATCTTGCCCCACCCCAAAGAAGAAAACCTTACAGCATTTAACTAATGCTATTTTAAGGAAATCACTGAGGAACAGGAACATGGAGAAAACCATTCTGAGGCCACTTACTTATTGGCAAGATCCTTCTGCTCTGTAGAGGAAAAGGCATGTGTTAAGTTTTTTCTAGTGACCTTCTCAATTCCTTCTCAGAGGAAGCAAAATGTACAGTCAGCCCAACATGCTGAACCAGCAATTGTATGCCATGCTCTAAAAATATTGAGGTAAGAGAAATATTGTCTTCTCTACTCTGTACCTGCAGTAGCATGCATGATATTAATATATTAGGAATCAGAAAAGAAAGGAATAATAGGATTAAGATGCAAGCTTGCAGAATACACAATGTTGTTTCACTGTGTCTTGTGATACATAAATAAGTAATTAAGAAATGTTATCATTGAAGAGTCTGCATTCTAAAAAGACGTATCAAGAAGATTTTGAGGAAAAACAAGAGGTTTATGGAGCTTCATTCCTCCAAATAAGGGGTAAACCTATTCCTGAACAGCAATCTAAAGAAAACAGATTGATGCAAAGTATTGATAGCAGCAACAGGAAATGTGTCACCTGAGTTTAGACATTCAGTAATGTGAAGAGATAATATGCACATCTTTGTGAAATGTCATATACGTCAGTTCCCAAGAATTGACCAAGCTGGTGTCTTCACTGGCTGTAACACCTGTCCAGCTTGGGATGCAAGCTACAGCCTGCGGACTCAGGAGAGGGATAATGCTTTCTCTCCTACATAGGAAGCATCCCATGTTATCACAGATTACACTCAGACAATCTGAATATTAGTCTGTGTGGAAAAAGAAAAAAAAAAAAGCTTAACTGGTTTACATGGAGGTCACTTTCAAGCATTCCTAAAGGAGCAAAAA